TTGGGGCCATCTTGGCAAACTGGGAGGCCATCTTGGCCGTTTTTGGAGGCCATCTTGAGGCCAATTTAAGCAAACATTTATTTGTGTGTCCCAGGGCCCCTTCATGGTGGCACCTTCGGTGCCGCCCACTGCGCGCTCCGCGACTCCGCCCCCACTGGCGCGCTGAGCGCGCCAGGGGCGGCGCCTGAGGCGCGGCTAGGCTTAAGTCGGGCGTGTCCCCCTAGAGGGAGGGATTTTCGACGGAAGAGATAACATACTCAAAACATATTCCAAAAAGGTCAAGCAATATCCAAAAACGTAGCCCCCATATTTGTTTTGACTATTGCGAAGGCCCTACGGCCGGTGCCGCCGACCCTGAGAACGACGAAGATGAAAACGAGGGGGGGGCAGGGGGAGGTGGATGAGTGGGAGGTGGAGGAAGGGTGGAGGAGGTGGATGAGGGAGGAGGAGGGGGAGAAGGATGTGGAGGAGAAGCAAGAGGAGGAGAAGGAGGCAGAGGAGAGCAGGAGGAGGGGAGCAGAGGGGGGGGAGGAGGAGGAGGAGGAGGAGGAGGAGGAGGAGGAGGAGGAGGAGGAGGAGGAGGAGGAGGAGGAGGAGGAGGAGGAGGAGGAGGAGGAGGAGGAGGAGGAAGAGGAGGAGGCCAGAGGCTTTCTTGGGACAGCCTGGGGCTCTCTTGAGGCCGTCTTGGGCCGTCCAGGGCTCCTCTTGCGCCGTCTCGAGGCACTCTTGGAGGCCTCCTGGGCAATTTGGGGCTCTCCTGGGCTGTCTTGGGGCAGTTTGGGGGCCCCTTGGGAGCCTCTTGGGGCCTCTTGGGGCTTCTTCGGGGCTTCTTGGGGGACTCTTGGGGCTGAGAGCTCGAAATGTCCGTTCGGGTCCCCCGTCTTGGCACTCTCCTGGAGCCGTCTTGGGGGCCTCTTGGGCCGTCTTGGATGCGTCGTGGGCCGTCTTGGGGCCCTCTTCGGCCGTTAGGGGACCCTCTTGGGGGCCTCTTGGGCCGTCTCGGGTCGATTTTGGGTGCCTCTTAGGCCGTCTTTGCGCATCGGGAAGCGGAAGAGGCAAGAACGCCAACATCTTCCAAGAACGTATGGGAAATCTATAAATTGTGCCTTCGGGGGCTCTCGTGGGAAAGCTCCTGGAGGCCTCTTCGGGCGCTTTGCAGGCCTCTTGGGCCGTCTGGAGGCCGTCAAGGCGTCTTGGACAGATCGTTCGGCGATTCGGGGTTCTTTTGGACTGTCTTTGGGGCCTCTTGGGGAACTTTTGGCTCGTCTTGGGGCTTTTTGGGGCTCCAGGACTCCCAGGGGGGGCGTCGTCACTCCCCCCCCCACCCCGGGACCCCCCCCCCCGGCGGGGGAGGGATCGAAGGGAAGGGGCTTCCCTTCGACTCAATTACGACGTTGCTCAACTTTGCTTTGGCTGGCGCGCTGAGGAGGTCCCTGGGAAAGGGGGGAGCTTCGACGAGCCCAGGGAAAGGGGGGAGGCAGGGAAAGGGGACGACACGAATGACGGAGATGACGACTTGAACGGACAAGCCACTCACACACGCCGACAGGGTCGGCGGATGTTTGAATATTCCTCCTGTAGAGGGACGGGCCCGACTTAAGGCTAGGCAAGGTGTCCAGCTCAGATCCAAGAAATCCGCACGGTTTTTCGAAAGCGTACGTTTAATACGACCGGGTGTTTGTTCTTCGGATGACGAGATAGGTCAGAGGGGGATGACAAGGCTGGAAACGCATGTTCGTTCAGTGGGCCGTGCTTACGGAGCTCTCAGATGGATGCCATGTATTCTTTCTGGTCTGCATTGCTTCTGCAAGATCCCTGAGTGGGACATCCCATCGCAGGGCCTGTGCCACCGCTGCCTTGGGTGTCGAGCCCTCGCAGGGGTGGCTGGTAACAATTGGTTTGCGTAGCCGCACTAAGGAACATCCACCAGCGATGCGCGGACGTGACCAAATTGGCCTGCCACCGGATGTTGCCGAAGTGCGACCCGAGCACAAATTCTAACATGGTGCCAGAAAGTATAATCGTAAGGCTCATGGGTACCTCCGTCGTGGTTCATCGAGGTAGTGTCGCTCTGAGGCGGAAAAGTGCCCGTTTGATTTGTTTTCTGTCTGCAGCATCGCGTGGGGTGCCATTACGTTGAGACCTTGCATGCCACAGCAGCCCACTCACGCGAGCCTATTCTGCTCATCTTACACGGCGCTTTGTGAGAAAGGGACATCACAAATGGATAGGAGAAAGGGTTTTAAAAGGGACAATGGTAATGAGACGTGTGCATTGTGCATCTTCATGATTGTACCTATGCACATATGTAAATGAACGAGCGCGCTGCGGGAGACGCGAAGAACAAAAGGGGGGCCCAGCTTCCACCAGGGGGTGGCCTCTGAAGCTACCCCCCCCTTTCAGCAACCTAGGAACTGAGGCCGGAGGGGAGGGGGCTTCAGAAGCCCGCACCCTTTCCTCCTTTTTGGAGCTGGGGTAAGCTCGGGCTGCTCTTTGCAAAGGGGTGGGGGCTTTGGACGCGACCCCCCCCTGTTGTAGGGGGGGCTGGATTCGAAAGCTCCCCCACCCCCCTCGTCTTTGGTTTCCGAGTTAGGCCCAGGCTTAACTTTCCAAGGGGGGGGCTTCCGCAGCTCCCCCCCCTCCCCCCCTCTGCGAAGCTGGGAGTTGCCGGGAGCTCGTGGGAGGGAGGGTGCCTTCGCCCACCCCGCCCTTTCCCTTTCTCGGGGCTGAGGGTAAGCCCAGGCTTACCGTCAACGCGCCTAGTAAGGACGCGCGCCTTTATCCAGGGTGCCCTTGTGTCCCTGCCTCTGCGGCCCGTTCTTTGCCGTTTTCACTGGTCGCCCGCCGCCCACAAAATCTCAACTTTGGCCCCCAAGGGTCTTGCGTCCCTACCATTCGCCCTTAATGTACGTTTTGACTGTGCCGGTGATGGGGGGGGCTGTGCATGCCCACAGCCTTGGCGCGGCCCGCCAGCTGCCCGAGCGTGTTGTGCGCACGCCCTCGCCGCAGACAGACATGGCTGGGCAGACCCTCCAGCCTCGCACAGCTCGAGAAGCTGGGGCGTCCCTTCCACCGAGCTCGTCGGCCAACCGAGCGAGGTGGCGCGTACAGGGGGATGCAAGTTCTGGGGGGGTCATTTAGAATTTGCGCTCGTGTATCCCTGGCGGGAAACTGCCTAATCTGGGCTAGCTCCGTTAAAGTCTGGCTGCATCCCGCTCAATCCGGCGTGATCCCGCTTACTCTAGTTTAGTCATGCTTAATTCACGAAGTGCCTCCGAGTATACACCGAGCCCCTCCCAGGCCTGCCCCCGTGTCCCCGTGCCCCCGGTCCCCGCGGTCGGCGTCCTCGGCGCCGTCGTCGCGGTCGCCTCGTCGCTCTGCCGCTGCCGTCGTCGTTGTCGCCGCCGTCGCCGTCGCCGTCGCCGTCGCCGGCGGCGCCTTGGGGCAGTACCTTGCTTTCCCACGGGTTTGCGCCCCCCCCCGCGGGGGTGGCGTCTGCGGCAGCGGCCCCTGCAGTCCTGTGCCGGACTCTCGGCCGACACGCCTAGCCCCGGTGGCCATGCGTCCCAAAGTGGGACACATGCCAGGGTTGCGGATCCAGGAGGAGGAGGAGGAGGAGGAGGAGGAGGAGGAGGAGGAGGAGGAGGAGGAGGTTCCCGTGTCGGTCCGTGTCGGCGCCGCTGCCCGCGTGGCCAGCTGCCGGCGGTGCTGCCGCCGTGGCTGGCCCCTGGGCGAGACTCCAGACGCCGTGGGTGCTGTGTGGATGCAGAAAGCGCCGACAGCGGTGGACTGGGCTTCAGTCGGGCATGCCCCTCTACAGGGGGAATGCTCAAAAATAGTAGAAAAATAGTCTGAGGATATTTTTGAGCAGTTGTGGAGTATTGCTGGCGTATGTTATTTAGTCGCTTCGCTCGTTCCGCCGGCCCTGGAGCGCTATTTGGGGCCTCTTGGGGGCCTCTTGGGGCCTTCTTGGGAGCGTCTCGGGGCTCCTTGGAGGCGTCTTGGGCTCCCCTGGGGCCTCTTGGGGGGCTCTTGGGGGCCCGGGGGGTAGTCGATTGCAGCCGCGCCCTCGGAGGCCACGATCCTCGTGAGGGGTGGCAAAAAATAGCCTCCCCCCTGGGGATCGCCCGGGTCCCCGCCGGGTCCCCGCCGGGGATCGGCCGGGTTTTTTTTCGCCCGGGAGCCACCAGGGGCCGCCCTGCGCGTGCGAACTAGACATATTGTTAAGTAGTCACCGGAGATCTTCGCATGCCTCTGGCCCGTTGGGCCGGCGAATTTTTTTCCCCCAGAATCCCCCTGTAGGGGGACACGCCCGACTTAAGGCTGGGCCCACGGGAAGAGCATCGACCCCCAATCGCCCATCTTTCGCTAATCGGGGCCCTCTGCGTCCCCACCCCGCCCAGGAGGGCCCAGCTTCGCCGTCGGGGGCCTATCGCCGAGTTGTCAGCGAGGCATATCTGATTCCAAGTCAGCGCTTCCCCCCTGACCCAGCCCTCAGCCAACCGTTCCCCTCGCGGAAGCCTCCCGGCGGTGGAGTTGCCCCGCACTCCAGAGGAGGAAGAGGCAGCGCGGGCGCCAGGGCTTGGGGAGAATGGGCTGCTCCTTTCTCGCCCCGCCCTTCCTCCTTGCCTCCCTCCTCTCCCCTCCCTCCTCGTCCCTCCTGCTGCCTGCCCGTGTCTCTCTGACTCTCAGGCGCGGCGCGATCGTCTCTGCCCGCCTGGCCCTTAAAGGGCATCTTTCTGATGTGCCTGCCAACGGAAGGCGCTCGATCCATCGTCTGTCAAATTGCAACGTCGCGAAAAATCACGGCAGGGGGCCTTAGACCCTATCTTCATGCGTCTTCTTGCAACCCAGATCGATCTGTGATGGCCCCAGGATCCGAAACCAGGCGAAAACACGCTGCGTGCAAACATTGCAACGCCCAGATCTCAGTGTCCCTCCTTCCTCGCCCCTCCCTCCTTGCCACTCCCTACTCGCCCCCTCCCTCCTTCCCCCGCGCGCCAGTTCTCCAGCGCCGCCGCCGCGGCCGCCAGCGCAGCAGGCGCCGTGGGCGCCGCGACTGGCGATCGCCTGTCGCCGTCATCGTCGGAGGGCGGCGGCGGCGTCGGCGTCCGTGTCGGCGTCGGCGTCGGTGGCGTCGGCTTCGGCGTCGTCGTCGGCATCGGGGTCGTCGTCGCCGCCCTCGTCGTCGTTACTCGTTGGCTCTCGTCGTTGCTGTCGTGGTCGCCGTGGTCGTGCTGGTCCTCTCTCGGGCCGCGGGCGCCGACACTTCCGACGGGGAAACATCGGAGGAGAACACATTTCATAAACTCGACATCGCTCGGACGTGTGCGTGCATTTTTCCTTCGGCGAGGACCATCGAGGAGCATCCTTGATCATTCGGCGAAAAATCCTCGCACGAAACCGAAAAAAACACAGGGAATGGACGTCCGAGCGATGCCCAGATCAACACGCAACTTTCGGAGCTCCGTGCGGATTTCTTGGATCGGCGCCACCGGCATCCCCCCCGGCGCCCCTGCCGCGCCCCCCCCCTTGTCCCCCTGTCCCTGCCTTCCCTCTCCCCCCTACTGCTGCCTCCCCCCGCTCAGATCCCTTTCCCCTTCTCCACCGCGCCGACCTCGATCCTCCTCGATCCTCCTCCTCGATCCTCCTCCCCTCCTCCTCCTCCTCCTCCTCCTCCTCCTCCTCCTCCTCCTCCTCCCCCTCCGTAGCCAGTTTGGCTCAAGCCATTTTGGCTCAAGGTTTTGGTTTCCCCTGGGAACAAAGTGGATACCGCTAGTCCGCGGCCAGCTTTCATCTTTCGCCTGGTTCGCCCCAGGCTGAGCGGTGCGTGGTCCGCCCCACGCATCGCAGCGCTCACCACGACTAGGCTGTGCGGTGGTCGGTGGTCAGTCCAGAGAGCCACTCTTTCGGCATGGCGTGGGGCAAGGCAAAAGGCGGAGGCAAAGGCATGTCTTACAGCGATGTTTGGCTTCCTCTTGTGCCTGGTCCTCTGTTCTGCAAGGGCGGCGGCGGTGTGCAGGATCAGGCCGCCAACCAGCTGCCAGGCAAGAGGTGGAAGTGCCAGGCTTGCGGTTGCGCCAAGAACGCCGCTCGGTTCTATTATTGCAAACACTGTGGAGCCTATAAGCAAGACCCAACTTCGGCATGGTCTGGAGATGCAGCGCGTCAGTTGTTCGGCTACGGGCAGCTCAACGGTGGCGCTACGTGGGGCAAGGGTCCTGGTGGTGGCGATGCAGGGCAGCAACAGAAAGGAGCTGGAGGCGGCATCCCCAAGGGAGGAGGCCAGCTACCCGTTCCTCCTGGTGTCGCTGCAGCAAAGTTCACCGCCGCGGAGTACGAGACCATGGCAGGCTTCGCTGAACGTATGGGAGACTCTGCAGGCGCAGCAGCCCATCGTCGTGCAGCCAAAGCCTCACCGCGCCGAAGCAGCAAGAAGAAACTATTCAGGTTCGACTCAATCGGGCCCACTGGAAGGTGCATGGGATCAACAAACGTTTGGAGTCTGCAGTTGAAAAGTACGAACAGTACGAAGCTCAGCTCAACAATCAGAAGACTGTGGTGCTGGAGCTGCGCACGGAGCTCACCAATGCAGAAGGCGAGCATGCGACTCTCTTGCAGGACTTGGTCGAGTCTCAAGAGGCGCCTAAGCAGCCACCCGCGTCCACGGTCAAGCTTGCTCTGGAGGACATCATGGATCAGGAGCGTGTCGCGAAGGTCTTCGACATCAGCGTTTCGGACCTGTTCAGGTGTGACGGTGTGGAGCTTGGCGAGTCTGACAACATCGAGATTGAGTCACGTGTGCAACAGCTCAAGGCAGGGCTCACGGCGATGGCGGGCACCCTCTTCGCCGAGGCCAAGCAGAAGGTCGATGGCCTCAAGTCCGCCCACGCGCAGCACATCAAGAGGCTTGCGGCCAAGCGGCCTCGAGTGGAGCAGGAAGCACCCTTCGAGGAACCTCCTGATGCTGGTGCACCCGCCGAAGGAGATGATGGTGCAGCCCCGCCGCCTGCTGCCGAGGTGGCGCCAGGCACGGTACCTGCTCCTGGCACTCCGCAGGCAGCCACGGTCGGCCAGTTCGCGGTCAAGGGCGTTCCGCTTCTCCCTGGAGCTGTACCAGGCGGAGGCGGTGCAGCCTCGTCAGGCGCAGCGGGTGCTGCGGCAGCTGCTCCGACCACGCCTTCTACGACAGGCACTGCTCGTGAGCGCGCTGACCGCATTGCCGCGGCCACTCACACAGTCAACGATTAGCTACCCCCTGGAGGCCAGCCCTGATGCTCGTCGCCTCCTCGAGTCGTCGGTCGATTGGGGTCCGCAGGTCCTTCGCTCGGAAGGCTGCCTCCAGGGGGGGTTTGAAGCACCTTATATACTTCGGCACACGGAGTTCCGCTCAGTAGCGCAAGCTGCCCTCATCCACAAGAGGGGAGCGCTTCGTCGCGCGGCTGATCGGACCCCCGTCTTTGCCCCTGTGTCTTTGCTGGACTTTGCGATGCCGAGGGTTTTGTACCCTGTTCTCTCCCTTGGTAAGCCAGCGCGCAAGGGTGCCACGGACGGGGCTGTCCCGCACGTGGCCACTTCTGTTTGCCCCCCCGTGGAGGGGGGGTCTCGTCCCCACGTTGAGCTCGTCGCGCTCGGAAATTTAACGCCAGGATGTTCCGAGGGCAAATTCGAACCCTTGGATTCTCAGTGGGCGCAGCTCCCCTCTGACTGTTTCAAGTCGACAGCGCACTCTGTCAGCAATGTCAGCCTGCCTGCGCCTGCTCCTCTTGTCGGCGGCGAGCAGCCATCGGCCTCTAACTCTGACAGTTTGGTGCCACTCACGATTCAGACCATTAACGCCAACTCGTGGGGTACGTTGAAGGGTTTACTCGAAGATTGCTCAGCCCACATCGTGCTCGGTCAGGAGCACCGTCTGATTTCCAAAGAGGACATCGAGCAGGCCAGTGCTTGGTGCATAAGGCATGGATGGAAGTCGGTCTGGGCCCCTGCTATCCCCACCCAAGCGCAGGACACGAGTGGGGGTGTTGCCATTTTCGTGCGCCCCTGGATGGGGCTCCTGGAGGTCGAGGATGCCATCGCGACGCCTGGGCGATGCATCGCGTGTTCTGCGCACCTCCCTGGGACCCCCCCCATCCCGGTTGCTTCTGCCTACCTTCACCACTCAGAAGGCCTCAGCGATGATAATCTGTCTCTGCTCGCGAGGCTCGGCGAGCAACTTTCGGCTGTCGGCCAGCCGTGGGTGCTCGGTGCCGACTTTAATCTGGAGCCTGCTGAGCTCGAGTCGTCCAGTTTTGTGTCAGAGTTGAGGGCTTCCCTTATCTTCCCCGTTGTCGCTACGCACTATCCTGCGGGCCCTCCCACGACGTTCGACTACTTCGTTTGTTCGGGCGGTCTTGCGAAGGGTCTCGAGTCGGTCGATACGAGATTGGATACGGAGCTCTCCCCCCATAGGCCCGTCCAGTTGGTGTTCCACCCCAAGCTGGCGGTGCTTCGCGCTCTCTCGTTCAGGAAGCCTCCCCCCCCTGCCGTGTCAGGTTGTCTTTGGCCCTGCCCCCAGAGAAAGTTGTTGGGCTGGGGAACTTGCGCTGGCGTCCGAGGCTGAACGTTGTCTTCAGAATGGAGACGGGCAGGGGGCCAAACGTCTGCTGGGCCCTCTCTACAGGAAGTGGGCCGACCACGCTGAACGCGACCTTATTCCCCTGGTGGGTGTTGCCCCCCCCCCCCCCCCCCCCAAAGTTGGGCACCAGGGGCTTGGGTCCTCAGCTTGTGTGGAGACCTATCGTGGGCCAGGATGGTAAGGCGCGTTATCCCGGTCATCGCGCGATCCGTTGGCTCGGGCAACAGCTTCGCGCCTTCATGCACGCTCGGCGTGGAGGCGCTGCCGCCACTGCTGCCAGGCCCAGTTGCGTGTTGGTGGAGCCCCCGCCCAGCATCTCGGCCGCCGTGGAAGACTACGGGCCGCTGTTCAAGCGAGCGGCTCAGGAGGTCTCCGCCCTTGGCTCTGGTGGGGATGTCGAGTCGCTCGCTGATCTGTACACTCAGGTTCACGAGGCCGTCAAGGCCGCCAGCGCCAAGTACGCCGCCAGGAGCCGATCAGACTGGGCTGCTTTGCTGCATGTAGGCATCAATAAGGGAGCTAAAAGGGTTCATCAATTCATTGAAGATCCTGTTCCGTGGGTTCCCTCTTCGACTCTCTCTGCTGCGGGGTGCGTCGTCAGTGATCCTCTCTCCCTGCTCAAGGCTGAGGGAGAGAGGTTCAGCAGCATATGGGGTGAGGGTCGAGGGGCCGAGTTTGATGGTCAGGTTATCGAGCCTCCTCCCCGACCCACGGCCAGCGAAATCCGTGATATCTCTAAGTCCTACAAAGATTCTTCGGCCGTGGTTGTGGACGGATTTCTCTGCAAGCATTTCTCTCTGTTGCCAGATGCTGCGCTTGATTGCCTCAGTGCCATTTTTTCGGTCATGGAAGCGCTAGGCTGCCTTCCTCCGCAGATCTCTGTCGTCACTTTGGCGCTTCTGCCGAAGCCTACTGGTGGCTACAGGCCGATTGGGGCGTTCTGCTCCTGGTTCAGGGTTCGGGACCGCTGTCGGCGGCCCTTTGCCTTGAACCGGGAGCAAGAACACCCCAAGCGGTACTGGGCGGCTGGTAGGTTTCGCGGAGCTGCAGATGTGGTTTGGCGTCAAGCTGTCACCGCCGAGACGGGTCTTGCCATCGGGGGGTCCTCATGTTCTGTTCTCTTCGATCTTCGCAAGTTATATGAGAACATCAGTCTGAAAGAGCTCGAGGTCCGTTGCAAGAAACATGGCTTCCCTCTTGCGATTGCCCGTCTTTGCATTTATGCCTACAGGTGTGGGCGCTTTCTCTGTCTAGGAGGGTGGCTGGAAGGCCCCTACTTCTGCCTGAATGGGGTTATCGCAGGGTGCTCGATGGCCACCACGTTCATTCGTGTCTTTTGCCAGGACGGATACGATTCCCTTCCCTCCATCCCCAGGCTCGACCTCGATGTGTATATTGACGACCAGGGTCTCTCGTGTACGGGCCAGCATCGGACCGTGGTCAAATCGATCGTCGAAGGGGCCAAGGCGCTCCACGCCATCGTTGAGTCTTGTTTCGGTTGCTCCCTCGCCCTGGACAAGACCGCTGTTGTTGCTTCCTCAAAGGCCCTTGGTGATGAGGTGTCTTTTGGGATTTCGCATTTAGGAGGTAATTTTACGTCGATTGCTGTCAACTTAGGCGTTGACTACACGGCTGGCCGCGCGCTTAGGGTGGCGGGGCGCTCGGTGAAGTCTAAAATGCGTATCGCCAAGGCTGCGAGGGCGGCCAAGAGATTAAAGCGTCAGAATAAAGTCATCTCTCGGCCGCAGGTTCTCAGGGTGTTCTCGTCGGGGCCCCTCTCGGGGGCTTCGTATGGCACTAGAATTACTGGCACTAGCGACCTTGAGTTGCTTCGCCTCCGTCGTCAAGTTTTCTCGGTGGTCCGACCTCGATCTCAGTTGAGATCTCTGACGACGGCGGCTCTGCTCGATTATGATCCGTGCTGGCGCACTGCCACCGCCCCCATCCTCCGTTGGTCCAAGGAGATCTGGCTGGCCCAGACTGGGGCCTACTCTTGGGGTTTGGGTGTTCCCTCGCTGCGTCGTGCGTGGGAAGCTGTGTTCTCCAACCCTGCCTGCTCCTGGAGAGCGGTCGCGGGCCCCGTGTCGGCCCTTCGGATGTCCCTGGTTAGGCTGGGCTGGTGCATGGACAACTTCATGACGGTGCGAGATGACCGTGGCTTCACTATTCCCCTCGGCATTTTCTCGCCTGCCTTGTTCAGGATCTTGCTCAAGGGCGGTTATTTTAGGATGTTGGAGCGCCTTTCCGCCGAAAAGAGGGGTGTGCTCCCTAGGATATGCTATGATGTGCTGCGCGAGGCCCTGGCCTCCAAGAAATACACGGCCATCCAGAAGGCCCACATTAGAGCGTTCGCCACCGAAGCCTTTTTCACTGGAGATCGTGCTGTGAGCTTAGGCTACGTCGTGGACGGCAGTTGCCCGTTCTGCGGCGCCTCGGACACGATCTTCCACCGGTTGTGGGAGTGCCCCCACGAGCCAGTGGCTGAGCTTAGATCATCTCTAGTGGACGCTAGCACTGGAGCCGCAGCCTTAGCAGCTAAGGACGACGAGGAAGCTGTGTTCGTTTTTATATCAGGGGCTTTCCGCCACCCCGCCGACGGGTACCCCAGGCCCCTCACTGAGACGGACAATGGCCCGTTTCTTGTGTGGCACCACCAAGATATTACGTCGCCCTCTGGGGCTACTCCTGGCATTGAAGTTTGGGGTAGCGTTTTCATCGACGGCTCTAGCAGCCGTCACACTGTTCGGGAGCTCCCTCGGGCTGGCAGCAGTGTGGTGATGGTCGACGACCAAGGGTCGGCCGTCGCCGAGTTTCGGGCCCCCGTGTGGGCCCCATATCCTCAGACGCCTCAATCGGCCGAGTTCAGCTGCTGGACTTGGGCCAATGTGCTCGCGTCGGCCTGCATCGATGTTTTCTCTGACTGCAGCAATGTGGTCAATCTGGCCTGTCGGCCCAAGGCCGAGCAGCTGTGTGGGAAGAGGGCCTACTCAGGGGCTTTCCTCCAACTCTATGCCCAAGGTATCTCGCCTTCCACGTGCACTAAAGTCGCAGCTCACAAGGAGCTGGATGAGGCGGGTATCGACGCTGCCGAGCGCTGGAGGCGCCTAGGCAACCATCACGCTGACGCGGCAGCCAAGCATGCCGTGCATCTGCATCCTTCGTGTCCAGACAAGCTAGCGGCTGCCGATAAGCTTGTCACGCAGGCGCGCCAGACTATTAGGCTGGCGGCCCATGTAATGCATGTGTGGCCGACCTTGGACCTGTAGGACGAATTCCAGCCCCGCCTGCCGCTGCTGCAGCGTCCGCAGGTCATCGCTGGGAAATGTGGTCTGGAGTGTGGCGCTGTGCAGCTTGCCTCAGAGGCAAGCGATCTCAGAGTAGGCCCCCGCCAGGTGTCTGCTCTCAGGTTTCTCGGCTTCACGCGTCCAGTCAGGACGCCCTCGAGCACCGTACGATAGCGTTCGATTGCTCCGATGGCTCGGTTTTATTTATTTGCACTAGGTGCAAGGCGCACTCCAGTGGAGCCTCTGTCCGCGGGTTAGCCGCCAAGTGCCAGCCGCCTCCGTCGCGCGCAGCGAAGTACGGCTGGGAAGCCCTGCGCAAAGGCAAACACCCGCATTATAGGCAGCAGAAAGCGGGTGTAACGGTTGATGTCGGCAATTTGATGCAGTGTTTCAACACGTATGCCTAATGTGTTTTACAAGGCCTGCTGCACCGCCTCGTTGCAGCTGGCGTCAGATCCTTTTAAGGACTCAGAGGAGAGCGTGGAGCTCAAAAAACATCCTCCTCCTCCTCCTCCTCCTCCTCCTCCTCCTCCTCCTCCTCCTTCCTTCTCCTCTCTATTCCTCCTCCTTGATCCTCCTCCTCCATCCTCCCCCTCGATCCCCCTCGATCCCTCTCGAGCCTTGAGCCCCCCCAGGCCTCTGTCCTCCCCGTGCCCCCCCGCGAGGCGCGCACCGCCCCCCCGCGGGCCCGTCCGCGAGCGCGGGCGGCATGTTCGGGCTGGAGCGCTGGGCGGTGGTGGGCCGCGGGAGCAACGGCGTCGTGCAGGCGGGGCGGGCGGGTGCACGTCAGCCACGCGCAGAGGGGGGTGGGGGGAGGGGGGAAGGCTTCTTAGAAACACCCCTGCTTCTTAGAAGGCGCGGGCCTCATCTATAGATGTAAGGCCAGCGGCTTCTAAGAAGCAGCCTGCTTCTAAGAAGCCCTCCCCCTCCCCCCACCCCCTTGTGCGCGCCGCCAAGCACGGCGCCCGACGTCGTGTAACGGCCTCGTGCACACCGCCCGACGGCCCGATACGCAGCGCGCCCCCTGCTCCGTAGGACGCGCGCGCGGCGATCGCCTGGAGAGCACAGGCGCGCATTGCTGCGCAGTGCATCTCACCGAGCGCGCTCCCCTGCCCGCACAGCGCCTGCTCGCAAACTCGCGGCGACTGCTTGGAAAAATCGGGCCGGACGAAACGGGGGGGAAAGGGAAAGGAGGGGTTAACGAATCTGCTGCATGCAGGTGGTTTCGGCCCCTCCGCCGGGCCCATTCCTCGACACATGGCCGCCTCCCGACGCCGGGAGGCGCCGGGAAAATCAGCTACGTGAGCTGATTCTCACCCCCCCTTTGCTATCCACACATTTCGCCCAGCCCGAAAATCACAAGCGCGCATTGCTGCGCAGTGCAAATCACCGAGCGCGTTCCCCTGCTCGCGCAGTGCCTACTCGCAAGCGCCAGAAACAAACAAACATGTTTTCTTCTACAGAAGGTATCGTGAGTCCCCCGCGGCGGATCCAGGCCACGTGCGAGTAATACCACAAAACTGCGCTACGCCGAGCCACCCTGTATCGCGTCGCTGCGCCACGTTTCACCACACCGCGCAACCTTCGCAGCAGCACGTGCCACTGTTGCGCGCGCCATTTTTCGGGAGGGGAAAAAACACAGACACAATTAATCGCCGACTCCCAGGAAAATATGGGAAAATATGGGGAGTGGGGGGGAAGACGACACCCCAGAACATATGCGAAAATATAGGGCATCCTGTTATTTGTGTGTGTACTTATTTGTGTGTCCCAGGGCCCCTGCAATCTTCTCCTCCCTGTTGACCACCAAGCTGGCGGCCGAGAGGGAGAGGTCGAGGAGGCCCTCCTTCGGGCGGGTGGCAATGGGAGGTGGCCCGCGTGAGGGTGCAGAAAATTGCCCTAAAGCCTAAACGGGGGCCTTTCTGGCCCCTTCTGAAGCCAGCGGGGGCCCAAACGGGGCCCTAGGCACCAACGATTGCCACCCACCCGAGCGGGGCGGGAGGGACGGAGGGGTACGGCGCTCAGGAGCGAATTCAAGAAGGGCATACGCTCACATGAGTCCACGTTAGTTTCGAAAGTATGCACTGCGTGAACACTCATACCACGAGGCTGGTCTCGCGGACTGGGGGGACATATTCGCGTGCGTGGTTGGGCGCGTACGTCCTCTGTGAGCCTCCTAGGGTCTAAGACGAGGATAAATCCGTTCCAGAGCGTTCCGGGACGCTCTGAGAGCGATCGGAAGATACATTTTTCAGGCCGCGGCGCCCGATAGATACATCTTCCAGAGCCGCCGAATATCAGAGATTCTCGATTCATCCTTACCTGAAGTTGTCCCGTCCTGGCTTCGTCTTCGGGAGGGGGGAGGGGGGAGGGGAGGGAGGGCCAGAGGATGAAAAGGTACCATTACCGCTACTCTTCCGTCGTTTTCTCCGTGTTGGGCCTCCTGGGAAGCCCTCGTCACCGCAGCTAGATTTGCTTCAACACTCGTCAGAACGCACCCCGCGGAGGCCAGGGGAGTAGCGGTATTGGTACCTTTGGCCTTCCCCAGAGGGGTAGGAGGAGGAAGAGGAGGGAGGCCTAGTCCCAAATGGGGTCATCATAGATAGGGTAGGAGGATCGCGCCGCATCGAAGATACAACAGCGGTGCGGCTCGATGAGCAGCCCAATTTTCTCCGCGCTGACGTCGCCGGTGCACCGCCGACGTCGCCGATGCATCGGTGATGCATCGCCGATGCAGTGTGATCCTCCGACCCCATCTGCTTACACCCAAGTTAGGAAGCCCCACAGGGAGGAAGGAGGGAGGAGTGAGGGAGGAGGTGATGATACGACGCGAGGTGTTGCAATGAAGCGTGCTCCTGTGTGGCCGCTGGCGCTGGACCCAGGGTGCCGAACAGTCAAGAGAGCGGGGCGGTCCCAGCCCCATAATTGGGCAACCACGTGTGGGCACTTCTGCTCGTCGACGGAGGAGAAGGGAGGGAGGGAGGGGGGATAGAGGAACGTCCCTCCGTTCTTCGCTCTTTCCTCCCTCGTCGTCGTCCTCCTCCTCCTCCTCCCCCTCCTCCCCCTCCTCTTCCTCCTCTACCCCTCGCTCCTCCCTCCCTCCCTCCCTCCCTCCTCGTGTCGTTTGTCAAACGAAATCCGCTCTGTATGACTACTACTACTCTTTCTTCTCCCCTGACTCTGCGGAAATTGTCCCGCCCTCTCCACGTATTGCGAAGTCCTTACGGCCAATGCCGCCGACCCTGAAGATGACCAAGATGAAAACGAGCGGGGGGGGGTAGGAGGCGGAGGAGGAGGAGGAGGAGGAGGAGGAGGAGGAGGAGGAGGAGGAGGAGGAGGAGGGGGGGGAAGAGGAAGGGTGGAGGAGGCGGGTGAGGGAGGAGGAGGGGGGGGAAGGAGGAGGAGGAGCAGGAGGAGGAGGAGGAGGAGGAGGAGGAGGCAGAGGAGAGCAGGAGGAGGGGGATCAGGGGGGAGGAGGAGGAGGAGAGGAGGCGTTCTGGGGGCCCCGTTGGCCGTCTTTAGGCGTTCTTGGGCTGTCTTGTGGTGCTTGGGCCGTCTAGGAGCGCTCTTGTGGATCCGTCGTGCCGACCCCCCCCTCATCCAGCGCATCTACAGGGGGGCCCTTTGTAAAAGCCGCAAGCGGGGGATGGTATTCTGACCCGCCCCCCCCCCCCGGGACCCTCCCCCCCCCGCGGGGAAGGGATCAAAGGGAAGGGGCTTCCCTTCGACTCAATGGCAACGTTGTTAATTTCGCTTTGGCTGGGTTGCTTCATTTCGCTTTGGCTGGCGCGCTTGAGGACGAGGGCCCAGGGGAAGAGGTGGGAGCGGCGACGGACCCAGAAAAGAAGACGACAAGTACGTACGAGGACAACCACGACGAACAACACATTCCACATGCCGACAGGGTCGGCGGATTTCTTACGCATTGTATTCCATTGTCTGATGGTTCTTATGAGCGTTTTTTTACAATTCAGTCGATGCTGGCCCCTCAGAGTGGTGCTTCATTTTGGGATCGGCGCTTCGCTACTGTCGTTCAGACTGGCACTCTCGTTCCATCTCTCCACTGTTCTTGATCCGGTGTTCTTCCTTGTTGTTGTTGTTGCCCCCCTCCTTCCCCTCCTCTTCCTTCCCCTGGCCCTCTTGCTCCACCCGCTCCTTCAGCTCCAGCCCCTGCTGCTGCCGTTCTTCCTTGTCCTCATTTGTCCTCCTCCGTTCTCATCCTCCGTCTTTCCTTCTGCTCATCCTCCTGCTCACTCGCCACCTCATCCACTGTACGCAGCCCTTCTGTTCCGATTGCGCATAGCTCGGACGTGTGCATGCTTTTTTCGGCGGGGATAATCGAGGAGCATCCTTGATCATCTGGCGGAAAAACCACGCACGAAACCAACAAAAAGCACGGGGACTGGACGTCCGAGCGATGGCGAGATTCTGATTGCGCATAGCACGACGGGGCCCACGTTGGAGCTCCAGTTCCGCTGTGGCGCGCATCGGCGGACAGAGGCAAACACCGGCGCAGGAGGGAGTGGCACGCATCGGCGAATGGAGAGGAACAACAACAGCGCACAGGGGAAGGGATGGGTGGGATGGATAGAATGTCAGACATGGCGCGAGCGTACCTACAGTGCCGGTTTTAATACATGCTCCGCGTGCGGATCATGAACTTTAAATGCAGGGATTTAGAATTAACAACAACGATGAACTCATGCATACATTTATTCATACATTGACCATGTATTAAAGATCATAAATCGATGTCTTAAAATCGCATGTATTAAAACCTGCCCTGTAGCTTGTCTTTCCTCCTCTTCCTCCTCTCTCTCCCTCGTCCTTTCTCAGCACGCCTCCACTTAGGCAGACCTCCTCTCTCCCTCGCTCTCTCTCTCTCTCGTCCTCCATCATTTAGGAGGGAAACAAACACACAGACACAATTAATCGTCGATCCCCAAAAAATATGGGAAACTATGGGAACTGGGGGGAAGACGAAAATCCAAAAAATATGGAAAAATATGGGGAATGTCTTTATTTGTGTGTATTTATTTGTGTGTCCCAGGGTCCCTTCAATTATCCCTCCTCTTCTCTCCTCCTGCTCCCTCCTTCCCCATGCCCTTCCCTCTTCAGCCTACCTCCCGCCTCCGGAATATCCTCTGTGCTGGTCGCCCATCTCTTCTCCCTCTCTCTCTCTCTCTCTCCCTCTCTCTCTCTCTATCTCTCTCCCCCTCTCTCTGTACATCCGTAAGGGCTTCGCCCCATGCCGCCGGCCCCCTGTCTCGGATAATGGGAGATGCAAAAGCTAAATCATGAGGTCTGGGCGCCGCCGTGAAGCAGTGTCGGGACCTGTTTGTTTTTTCGACCCTGACCTTACGGATCTGCATCACGGGTGCCACCGAATTGTCAGAAATGTGGCGAATTCCTTGTGCTTTTGGACCCTGATTCCGCCGATCTGCGTGAGGGGTGCCACCGAATTTCAGAACTGTGGCAAATCCCACGTGCTTTTGCACCCTGATCCGCCGATCTGCTTGAGGGGTGCCGCCGAATGTCAGAAATGTGGCAAATCCGTTGTGTTGTTGGACCCTGACCCTGCCGATCTGCGTGAGGGGTGTCATCGAATGTCAGACATGTGGCAAATCCCACGTGTTTTTGGACCCTGGCCCTGCCGATCTGCGTGAGGGGTTGCCACCGAATGTCAGACATGTGGCAAATCCTTTATGTTTTTGGACCCTGACCTCGCTGATCTGCGTGATGAGTGTCAATTTTTCCCCACCCCACCAATTTAGACAATACGATTTCTCCGTGGTAAAAATGCCCGTGTTGGGCCTCCCCCCCTCGCGCGGTCCATCAACAAGGAACAGTAAGCAGCAAGAAGTTAACAAGGAACAGTAAGCAGCAATAAGCATAATTGTAACAGCGGAACTTGGAAGCTGCAACTGGTACAGGAAACTGCGAAGCTTCGTCCTACAGCCTGGTGGCCCCACAAGGGGGCCGGCGGATAGATATATCTATGTTCCTAGCTCCTCCTCCATCCCTCCACTCCTCACTCCCTCCTCCTCCTCCTCCCCCTCCTCCTCCTCCTCCTCCTCCTCCTCCTCCTCCTCCCTCATCCTGTCCCTCCCTCCTCCTTTTCCTCCTCAGCGTGCTCCTCAAAATGCGCCCTTCTGATAAACCTCCTGCCTCCTCGTCGGGGAGGGGAGGGTGGTAGCAAGGAGGGGGTAGTGAGGAGGGCGAGGAGGAGGAGGAAGAGGAGGAGGAGAAGGAGCAAGGAAGGGGAAGTCAGGGAGGGGGAGGGAAGGGAGGAGGAGGTAGGCAGAGAAAGGCGGAGGAGGAGGAGGAACAGGAGGAGTCAGAGGAGGACAAGTAGGAGCAGGAGGAGGAGGAGGAGGAGGAGGAGGGAACGAAGGGGTGTTGACGCTTTCGAGGTGTGCTCGATCCTCGACCCAGGAATGATACAGTGCACAGTTGTTTCGGCCCCCGGAGCCGAACAACTATGTACCCCACCGCGTTGGAGCGGGTCTGACGAGAACCCAAACGTGGTACGGTGCACGGGCGCCGTTTTCGTATTACCCCCTTAGCTCGACATCTTCCTGTTGGTAGAGTCTCGCGTTGTGTACAGACAGCCCCCCCCCAACTAGCCCAGCTGGCTCAGCTCCTCCTCCTCCTCCTCCTCCTTCTCCTCCTCCTACTTCTCCTCCTCCTACTCATGCCCCTCCCGAAGTAGCCCCAGCTGGCCTCAACAGGACTCCCGAATAGTCCTAGGTGATCTCAACACCCTGGCGCTGTCTCTGGCGGCGCCCCTGGAGCGCTCCGCGCCCCCGGGTTGAGGTGTCGAGACCGCCCCAGGCTACTCGGGAGGTCTGCTGAGGCCAGCTGGGACCGCTCGGGGGGGGGGCTGTTGAGGCCAGCTGGGACTATTTGGGGGGGCTGTCTGTGCGCAGCCCGAAGCCCCACCATATCCCGTGCCGTTTTCCGACGGTCCCAGGGCCAGGCGAGGGCCGTGGAGGCCGAACGTGGCACGAGCCTTTCCGCTGCACCTCTGTCCCACGACGCGAGCGGCCCTCGTCTTGTCGAGGTCCCCCACACGGGGTCGCGCCGCGTCGCCGACGCATCGGCTCAAACCCCTTCTCGGAGGCCTTTATCTTGGGAGCAGGAGGAAGAGGAGGAAGAGGAGGAGGAGGAGGGGGAGGAGGAGGAGGAGGAGGAGGAGGAGGAGGAGGAGGAGGAGGAGGAGGAGGGGTAGAGGAGGGGCAGGAGGAGGAGGGAGGAGCAGGAGGAGGCCTCTGTCTCGGGACTCCTGGACCTCCGGCGCCCGTGCTCCCGAGCTGCTGCTCACTGGCCGCTCCGCGGCCGCAGGCGCTCCTGGCGAAGCTGGCCGCCCGGGGCAAGGCGGTGGCGCACGTGGACCCCTCCGGCAGCACGCCTGGCGCGGCCAAGGCCTGGCGGCGCCAGCGCCGATCCGAGAAATCCGCGCGGACCTCCGAGTTTTTGTGCTCATGCCACTTTTTGTTCCCTTATTTTTGTTGTGAAACCTCTGGTGGGGGGCCCAAACATCTACACCACCACCACCTCCCTCCCCGCCTCCCTCTCGCGGGCAAGAGGAGAGAGGAGGGATCGACGTGGTGGTGGTGCATATTCTTTGGGCCCCCACTCTGGCGCGTCTCTTGGCATCGCTCGGACGTGGGCATTTTTCCGTCGGCGAGGACAGTCGAGGAGCATCCTTGATCATTTGGCGAAGCAGCCACGCGCGAAACCGGCAAAAAGCACAGGGAATGGACGTCCGAGCGATGGCGAGGTCTGGGCCTCCCAGGTTTAGGCTTTCTGTTGTGAAACCTCTGGCGCGCGACGGTCGTTGCCCGGAAATCGGCCGTTTGGGGAGGGGGCTTGCCGGTGCTCGTGTTCGCAGCCGCCCCCTCGCTGGTTTTGCGCACGTGCCCCGCTGCCCCACTCCGCGCCAGCGTTACGGTTACCGGGGCCGCAGTACCCCCCCTCCAGATAACGATGGGTACGTATGCGGAAACACATCTATATGATTATATATAATCATATATATATACATGTATACGTACACGAAGCATACCCCAATGACATGTTCAGCTTTTTTGCTCGAGTCTGGTACTGTTTGTTATGGTTGCCAACCTGAGCTCGGCGCGCATGTCGAGTACGATAGGACGGTCTAACTCGATCGCTGCTGTTTACATTATATCACGTTATGTTCGGATATTATGCGCACGGCCTGTTATGTTCAGCTTTCGACGGGGTGCCGTGATGTTTGGTTGGTTGTTGCCGCGTCTGCGTTTGTAATGTGTCCAACCTTGCGTCGGCGTGGATGCTGCCTTTGCCAGGGCGCCATTACTTGGTTGTTGCTGTATTTCAAAGTGGTCCGCTATGCAATATTAAATCGTGTCTTCGTATGTCCCACTATTCTCTCAGGTCGTGACCTAGACGGGCCGGCGTGACGTCGTGATGCTTGTCTCGTTAGATACTTCGTCCAACCGGTTGTTGTTGTGCTTGTTTGTTCCCATGGCCAGCCCGACGTCGGCGCGATCGTCTCGTTTGAAGATGGCATGGTGCGATCGATGTTGTTATGATGCTCGTATGATGAAACGCCATGAATTGGTGGCTGTTGTATATACTGTGCTGTGTTCTGCTCGCTTGGATCCTGCCTCAGTTCAGTAAATGACAGAGTGTTCTATAATGTTATGTTCTTGACAGGCCGGCGAGACATCGTGACGCTTGTCACGTTTTTTAGTTGTCGTACAACCGACCGTTTATGTTACTGCTTATGTCTGTGGCCAGCGTGGGCTCTGCGCACATGTCGCGTATGGTAGGACGGCATTACGCGGTCTAGGCTGTCCTCTATGTGTTCGTTCTATTCGGATCTGCGACGCTCTGTTCGGATCGTTTCTGTTCTGCTATATAAACATATGTTTTGTTTTGTTCTGGTCTCGACAGGGTGGCGTGTCGCCGTGACGCCTGTCATGCTCGATCTGTCGTATGATCGGTTGTTGCCGCGCCTATTGTTTGTCGTGCGGCTAGTCTTATACGTCAGCGTTGATGCTGCGTTCGGCAGGGCTCAGTTAATTTGTCGTTATTGAGTCCATGAATACTGAATTCTGTTTCACTACCTTCATGGTCCAGTATGTAAACCGCAATACTGTATTAGGTTTTCTTGTGTTCTCGACTGGCCGACGTCGTGACGTTTGTCACGTTGGATACGCCATCTACTCGGTCGTTGTTGCGCCTGTTTGTTTCTGCGGCCAGCCTGACCTCGGCGTGCGCGTCGCGTCTGAATTCATGTACGGGCGATCATATTATGATGCTGTTCTTCATCCGTGGTTGTCCCGATCATGTTGAAGTACGGTGTTATGCTCTGTCCTGCCATAGGATGACTTGTGTTGTTGTGGCTGTTGTTGAGGTTGTGTGTTCGTATGCCATGCTATGTCATGTCATGCTGGCCACGCTGTACTAGTTGCATTATTTATTTGCTATACTATGATGCCCAGGCCCCGCGAGCGTCGCAGAGGCAATTAGAAGGCGCCAGGGGAGGAGGTCTCTGGGGGCCACGCCCTCGTCGATTTCTTCCCGGTTGCGAATGGCCTGTTCGTGCTGTTGGACCTTTATTGGGACTCAATGCGCCCGCTGGGGCTCCCCCAGTGGTGCCATGGGCATATTCACATTGGCGTGTTCATAGTTCCCAAATGAGTTCTGGCCCCAGCCCCAGTCCCTGCTCAACCATGGAGTGGCGCTAAGTTAGGGTGCGAAACATCGTGGGCGAAGGTCTAAACCGCGTGGAAGGGGTGCGCCATCGTGTTTTCTATGAGCACATGGATCTCGTGACCACAGTTGAGAGCTTTCTCATTCACAGGCAGCCCGGCTGCGATTTCGAGGGGCAGGCCCAGCAGAGAGGGTGGTTAGTAGAGGTCTTCAACGCACCACAGGCGCCGCCTGAACCGATGGGGTGGCAAAAGGAACGTGACGGCCGCAGTGTTTGGGCAGTGATGGCACCCAGACCCGCGGATTGGGTGCACTTCTTAGGCAGAGGATGCTAGTTCGATCTCCGGCGCGTCGGGGAGGCCCAGAAATTGATTTGGGAGCCAGAGAGGAGGTCGATAAGTTCACAGGCACCTCAACGGGGGCAGCGGAACCAGCACGTTGGCCAGGATCATGAAAGCCGGCAGGCGTACCAAAGCCATGGATGTCCAGCAGATTGTCCAGTATTTGGAGTTGCATTTTGCCAGGCCGCGTAGGACGAGTTTAAAGGAGTGGACCACGTCGTAGGGGGGAACCAACTAAAGCCCTGGCCCCATGAGAGGCGAGATGATGGAACCACCATTCGGACCCCATCGAGGCCATAGGCAAGAAAGGCCGCTTTTGGGAATCCAGGGGCAAGGCCTTCGATGGGCATGCATGACGGTTGGTGGGCAGATATACTCTTGGACGCCAGGAGCCAACTCCTTCCTGATATTAAGGATCACCAGTTTGAGGCAGGGTTGAGATGTTGTAAAAATCAACAGGCTTCGGGGTGCGACATGGAGGAATGCTTTCTAAGGAAGAGGGATGGGGTAGGAAAGGGAGGAGGAGGAGGAGGAGGAGGAGGAGATAGGAGAACGAAGAGCGGGAAAGTGAGGAAGAAGAGGAGGGGAAGCCGCAGGAGGGGGAGAACGAGGAGGAGCGGAAGTAGGATTCGGAGGAGGAGGAGGAGGAGAAGGAGAAGCGGGAAACGGAGGACGAAGAGGAGGGGGAGGATGAGTAGGAGGAGGAGGAGGAGGAGGAGGCGCAGGAGTGGGAGGAGGAGGACGAGGAGGAGGAAGAGGAGGAGGAGGAGGAGGGGAGGAGGAAGAGGAGAAGAGAAGAGGGAGGAGGAGGAGGAGGAGGAGGAGGAGGAGGAGGAGGTGGGGGTGAAGAGGAGGAGGAGGAGGAGGAGGAGGAGGAGCAACAGCAGCAGCAGCAGCATGAGGAGGAGGAGGAGGAGGAGGAGGAGGAGGAGGAGGAGGAGAGGGAGGAGGAGGAACTTGGAGGAGGAGCGACGCGCGGGAGGAGGAGCGAGAGGACTGGGTGGAAGAGGAGGAGGAAGAAGAGGAAGTGGAGGAGGAGGACCAGTGCAAGCCCAAGACTCGTCAACGATGTTGAAATACACCCTCCCTCCGAGATTCCCCTTCATAGGCCCCTACAAGGGGTCATTCCCACTGAGGGGATCCTCATTGGGGGACAAACGTGTAAAACTTTTGAAGCGTGCCAGACCACCATTCTCAGGACTCCAACCCTAAGGTGTCACCCGAATGTTACGTTTTGGACAAATCTGAACCATGCCAGAGAACCATTCCTGGGACTTCAACACCGCGAATCAACGTAACGATCGCGCGCTGGAAGTTTTCCCAAACACCGTTGTTGGTAGGTTAACTATGGTAACCCGTGAAATTGTTGCAAATGTTTAAGACGAGAGTGCGCGGCGCTGACGCGAGAACCACATTTTCAAACCGAACCACCCTCAATTCGCTAAACGCGTGCACAATCCAAATATGTGTACGCGGCGCCAAGGCGAGAGCCACGTGTTGAAAACGAAACGCACTCAATCCGTGAAGCAGTACAATGTGATGCGCAAACTTGTGCAGCGCTAAGGCGAGTGCCACGCTTTGACAACCACTCGCCCTCAATGCGTGATTCTCTATCAACATGTTAAGACGAGTGTGCGCGGCGGTAAGGCGAGAACCACACGTTGAAAACCACCCGCCTTCGATCCGTGAAATTCTCGCAAATGTCCAAAACGAATGTGCGTGGCGCTGAGGCGAGAGCCACATTTTGAAACCGAAACCAGTTGTTTATGACGACTGCGCGCGGCGGCAAGGCGAGAACCACATTCTGAAAATCACCTTCCCACAATCCGTGAAACTGTTGTCAGTTTTCAAGCATCAGGGTCACAAGAGGTGGTTAGGACGCGTCAGGCGGAATACCTGGCCCGCCCTTTCGACAGGCCTTTGGGTGCGACAGGGAGGAGTTATCTGTAAGGACAAGGAATGGAGGTGGAAGAGTGGGAGGATGAGGACGAGGAGGAGGCGGAAAAGGAGGAGGAGGAGGAGGAGGACGCGGAGGAGCGGGAGGAGAAGTGGGAGGAGAAGGAGGAGCGGGAGGAAGAGGGAGAGGAGGAGGGCGTGGAGGAGGAAGCAGAGGAGCGGGAGGAGGAGACGGAGGAGGAGGAGGAGGAGGAAGAGGAGGAGGAGGAGGAGCAGGAGCAGGAGCAGCAGCACGATGAGGAGGAGGAGGAACGACGAGGGGGAGGAGCGAGGAGAGGAGCGAGGCGTTGGTCGACGCCGGCGGCACAGGCGAGGCCGGCCTCCGCGGCCCGCCCGCCCCGCGGGTCGGCCCCCTTGCCGTCGCCACCGCTGCCACACCGCCCTCGGGTCGTGGAAGCATTACTCGGAGACTGGAAAATGTAGAGTCAAGACGCTGAACTAAGTATACTCCGCGCGGCAGGGAGAGGGGTCCGGCGCCGAGTCTCGAGAACTCCGTGCGGACCTCAGAAAGTTTGTGCTTCTGCAGTTTTTTTTTCTGCGGTTTGCCACACAGGTATTTGTATACAGTCAGGGCGCTGAAGTAAGGAACAGTTTGGGTTCGGAAGGGGCTCGATGTTCCTCAGGGTCCTCCAGTGCTGCTTCTCTTGCCGTCCTGGGGCACGGAGGCGCTCACAGGGCCAAGAAGGGGCTTCGTTCCCTATTTAGCGTTCCGTCTTTCAGCGGCCTGACTGTACATTACCAGTGGCGGGTTGTTTTTTCAATCCCACGACTCTTTGAGGGTCGAGGACGACGTCGGGATGGTGTGGTGTGTACTTTTCCCTCGTTTTCCCAGTGAGGCAACGAAACATGTCTACACCAGGATCCCGTCTACACCAGGATCCGTGTTCCTGTGTGAATTTCATCGCAGGGCCGGCAAAAGCGTCGGTGTATAGAGCTCGTTTTCCGAATTACCCCAGAGAAAAACCCCGACCAGTGGATGATTTGAACACCTGTGATATCGATTGTGAGATCGATAGTGGGTTCGACAGTGACCACGCTAGTAAGGTCGATCGTGAGACCGATAGTAAAGTCGATTCAGTGAGATCGACAGTGAGGTCAATCCTGAGATCGCTCGTGCGATCCATGGTGAGATTGGTTGTGGGATGGATCGTGAGATCGATTGTGAGATCAATAGTAAGATCGATCGAGAGGTAGGTAATGAGGTCGATGGTGAGATCAATGGATGAGGAGATCGACGAGGAACCAGGAAACCCGTGAACCCCGCCGACGGAACCAGGAAACGAAATCGGCCCGGAACCAGACGGGACCGGGGAACCTGGAATCGGGAACCCAGAAACCCGCGTACCGAAATCGGCAGGGCACTTTCGCCAAGTCTTTCAACATCCGCCAGGACCCTTTCAGGGCAAACACTGATTTGGGAAACACGCCTGGCGGTTTCCATGCACAGTCAACTTGCGTAGCAAGGATGAGGAATTGTCCAAAGTTACCCTTGCAACCTTCCCCTTCGACCCATCCCTGGCCACTTTCGTTGGCCGCGCCCCGCTCGCAAAGTGTCGACATGGTCTTCCATGGCCATTGCATCCTTATCGTGTCCCCTTACTAAACGGGTTGACTGTACTTTCGGCTTCGCATCGAAGAATCAGCAGCGACATCAACACAACCTTTTGAGGCTCCGCGCGGCTTCCTCGGATCGGCGCTGGTCCCCCACTGCAGGGCCCTCTTCCCCCCCCCCATTTCGGTGAGGCATCGAGCTGCGCACAGACAGACCCCCGTAGAGTCCCAGCTGGCCTCAATCAACGCGCTGCCCGAGCATTCCCGGGCGGTCTCCGCACCCTGGCGCCGCCTTTGGCGGCGCCCCCCGGGGCGTTCCGCTCCCCGGGGTGGGGGTGCTCAGACCGCCCCGGGCTGCCCGGGGGGTCTGTGGAGGCCCGCGGGGACCCCTTTCGTTGGGGGCGGCAAAGAGGGGGGTGATGAGCAGGGGGGGGTGGATATCATGGCGGGGGCTATGATATTTCCCCAGATTTTATGGCGCCTCGTCTCGTTTCATTACGTCCCTGGTCCCTCCGCTGGGCCGCGCACATGCCGCCGGTCATGATTTGCACCCCCCCCTCTTGGACACCCCCCTTTTGGCCGCTCCCGAACTTTCGGGAGCCTTGAGTTGTGGAGGGCGATCAATGGAGAGGAAGCATGCTGCCAAATAATTGCCACATGTCTAAAAGATGTTGCAGATATGTTTGAAATATGTTTTAAACATGTGTGAGACATGTTTAACGCATGCTTTACACATTTTGAATTCAATGATCGGGCTGTTAGGGTGTCCATGTCGTGGCATCCACAAGGCCTTGAGACAGGGGTTAATGAAAATGGGGGTCAGCAAGAGCGCCCGATCTTGCAGGATCCTGCAGGGCCAGGGTCGCATTGACCCAGGCTTGGATGCAAGATCTTGCAGGATCCTGCAGGATCCTTCGCATTGATCCGGGTTTGGGTGCAGGATCTTGCAGGTTTCTGCAAGGCCTGACTGACCCGGGTTTGGATTCGCCTGGGTCAGAAGATCCGCGACATTTGAGGGGGAGGGGGCGGGGGTGTGGGCTGTCTGCGCGCAACCCGAAGCCTTAACACACCCCTTATTCCCCACTGTTGCGGACACAACAGCATTCCCCACTGTTGCGGGCGAGTCATGATATACGGTAAACTGTTCCGCCGTTGGGGACGCTTGCCCAATGGCCGGACAGTTTGTGCCAGCAGGAGCAAGCAGTCCAGACGCCCTGGGTGAGGCGACTCCGAGCGCGGACAAGCAAGTCTATGAGGGCAGGATCTGAGCACCATCCAGTCCACACGTCGGGTCCGTAAGGCATGGGTCGACACTCGCGCGGTGATGCTCCAGCGCAAATCCGACATGAACCCGACGTGCATCCGATGTACATCCGACGCTGATCCGACGTACTTTGAATCTCAAATTGCCGTGCGAGGCCGTCAGGATGATCCTCATAAGGTCAGTTGTCCCCGAGCTTGGGCTAGGTTACATCATGGAATGATTCGTCCGCTTGCCCAGGGGTGTCCGTTGTTCGGTCGGTTCGTTTGCGTCGCAGTCGGTTGCGTGCGGTCGCTACGTCCGGTCTGGCTGCGTCATCCCTGCCGTTTCCTTCCTCGTCGCCGTCGTTCCCCCCCCCCGCACACACTTCAAGAAGACACGTTAGCTGTCGTATGCCGGCGCGTTGGTTTGACAATGCTTCGGGCAACGACCGGCTGAAGGAGTGGGGAACATGAGACCAGGAGGTTAACCACAGTGAACGCAGAGGCCTTTTGGAGCCTGTTGGAGCCATCTTGAAGCTCTCTTGGGGGCAGTTTCGGGATCTGTTGGGGCCCTGTTGAGGCCTTATTGGGGGACCTTTCGTGGCCATCTTGGAGGCCATCCAGCAGAATCGCTGGCGTGCACTGCCACTCTGGAGCTCTCTCTTGAGTGATATTGGGACCATCTCGAGACTTCTGAGGCCCATCGGAATCGAAAGAGTAGCGAGAAGTCAGAACACTTTGGAACACCGTACCCTTTGGAAAGGATGTGGGTCTTTCGGGGGGACGATCCGTTGCCACTTAGAGCCGTCTTGGATCTATGGGTGGCCTTGTGGCCTGCTGGAGGCATTAGGAGTGATAGCGAACCACATTGGACTGCGTGTGTTGGGCCATGTTGGATGCCGTCTTGAGCTGTTCGAGGCCCACATTTAGACGCTCTGACCGCTCGCGGGGCCGCCCGCCCAGACTCAGGGGAGGGGCTGGGAAGAGGGGTCAAGACTTGAAGCTCTCCGCGGGGCAGCGGGCTCGATCTTTGTTTCTGTAGGGGAACGAAGAATGACGTAAACATGAAAACTCGGAGGTCCGCGCAGATTTCTCGGATCGGCGCTGGCCCCCCCCCCTGGCGCGCGGAGCGCGCCAGGGGCGGCGCCGGAGGCGCCGCCGGGAGGCCACAGCGCGGATCTGGGACATCCGCGCGGACCTCCGAGTTCTTATGTTTATGTCACTTTCTGTTCCCCTATCCTGGGGCGACGGAGGCTGGGGCAGCGCTCGAAGGGCAAGAGCAAACCTAAGCAGCCCAGTCGTCCGTGAGAGCAATCCCAAGGTCCGAGCTTATTGCGACTCGAATTCGTGAGGACTGCGATTGACGGATCAAGCGCTCCGGCCGAACGTATTGCGATTTGGTTTGGGGAACAAAGTTGCGCCCCCGGGGGTTTCCATCCAAGTCAAGACGTCTCTCCCGACGCAAAGTATGTGGCTCACCCCCACTCGCACTCCCAACACAAAAAGTAGCACCCGAGTCTCAGCATTCTCAGCGGCCGCCGTGGGATAGGCAGCGACTGAGGGCCAGACAGGGGGTCATCATGGTGCCTGGTGGGCCTGCACACAGCAGGTAATGTGCCAGCACCCCCGCCGTCCCTGTCGGAAACCAATGCAACCTGATCGCCGGGTGCCCGATCATCATCCAGATGTAGCCGCGAAGTGCACTTTGTATAGCTCTCTGAAGGGAGTGGTGGCCCTGCGCACGGCGGGCCATATGCTGGCACGCACCCCCGCCGTCCCTGTCAAACAACAGTACAAAGTGCTCGCGGACCCCCCGAGTATGACCCAAGATGTTGCCGCAAAGTGCGCTTCGACAGGGCCAGTGGGCGGGTGTTGGCATGGCATAAAGCAGTCAATATGTTGGCACCCCCGCCGTCATTCAACCCATGCGCAGTGATCGCGGGGCGCCTGCGCATGATCAAGATTTGATGGCAAAGTGTATGTTGTACTGTTTGTCGCTAGGGATGGTGTGGGGAGGGGAGGGGGCTCCTGGGTCCGGCTTGGGTTGGCTGCCTGTCGGGTGGAGGAAAGCGGTGCTGATTTAATCGCTTCGCTCACTCCACCGGCCCATTTCGCATCACGGTGGCTGCATGGTGGTGTGCTCGTAGCTTCTGAAGGTCTTTGGTTTTCCCCCTTCTCGTTTCTCGCCCCTCCTCCTCCTCCTCCTCCTCCTCTTTCTCTTGTTTCTCTCCTAACCCTAGGTCGGCCTGCTGTACCTAGTCTCCCTTGCCTCCACCATGTGGAGTGGGCGGACTACACGCGATTGGAAAAATATGGACCCTCACCCCGACCATTGATATTTTGCTGCTGGATGGGACGGGGCGCACAGCCACGAAAGACGAGGATATGGTTCAGACCATCTTGCCCAACCACACGTGCGTGCAGTCTGGCTTTCGCAACTCCCGATGGGCAAATCGATCATGTGGACTTGCAGTGCTGTACAGCTCCACGCTCAGGGGCACCTTGCAGCAGACGCT